AAAGAGTGGCAATGGGAGGACTCCATTATGACGGTAGTTAGCACTGCGAAACCACTACATGACTTCAGACAATTACATTTTCTCATCCTACCTCACAAGCAGTGTTCCCTCAAAGCTGAGTTAGAGAGCCAGTTTGGTGTAGTGGTTAAGTGTGCGGACTCTAATCTGGGAGAACCGGGTTTGATTCCCCCACTCCTCCAGCTGCAGCTGCTGGATGACCTTGGGCAAGTCATAGTTCTGTCAGAGCTGTCCTTAAAAGAGCAGTTGTCTCAGAGCTCTCTCAGCCCGACCTACCTCACAGGGTGTTTGTTGTGGGGTGGGGAGGGGAGGGGAGGGGAAAGGAGTTTGTAAGGCCGCTCTGAGTCTCCGAGTGAAGGGCGGGGTATAAATCCAATCTCTTCTTCTTCGTGTGAGCTAGCTAGTTTTTTGTCTTAGCTCAGGAAGGATGGCTTCAGAGCAAACTAATTTATGCAGCAGCCAAATCGCTTGCTCACAACTTTAATGCTAGCAGCTCACAAAGTGAAATTTTTGCTCACAGGATTCCACAGTTTAGAGGGAGCATGGTTCACAAGGCTGTTGAGAGTATAAATCTGGGACCAGGGAAAGCATGAACCGTAACGGTGGCCTCTGGGCCAGTCATACATGAGAGCCCACATGCGCTCTCCCTCTAATCTATCTCATGGGATGTTTTTGAGGATATATGGGGGAGGGGAGACCTGTGTACTCCACCTCGAGCTCTTTAGAGGGCATGTGCTAAAAAAAATAATACACTAAATGAATAGAATTCCCCTATACAAATGATGGGTGGTGGTGGTAGGGTATAATGGTTAGAGTGTCAGGTAGGGGAATCTGGATAGACTCGAGTTCAAATCCCTGCTCCACCATGATGGGGGATGCCAGGGGGTGACCTAGGGCCAGTCCCTTCTTCTCAGCCTGACCTACCTCGCAGGGTCATTGTAGCGGCAGTAAACCAGAATGAGAGGGAAATGATGCAAGAATGTTAGGGGTGGAAATGAACATTGATTTTCTTTTTGCCTACTTGGTAAGAAACCCGATTTAAAAACAAGAAAACTGAACTTTCTTTGAGGTACCTGGATTTTTTCACTCCTGTTTTCTGCGTTGGGCGGGGATTAGATCAAGGTTAGGGTTACCTGCTCTTCTTCAAAGCAGAATGTCAGCCTACTTTAGAGTAAAGGGGGGTGGGATAAATCACAGCAAACCCCTTCCTGTATCTCCCCCAGCATCACCCTGTGTTGCCTATCTTGCCAGGCTAGGGAATACCCGGGGTTCGTGGGAACAGCCTTGCCAACTCCAGGTTGGGAATTTCCTGGAGATTTGGTGGGGTGGATCCTGGAGAAAGCACAGACTTGGGGAGGGGAGGGACCTCAGCGGGATATAACGCCATAGAGGCCGCCAGGGGGAACTGATCTCTGTCGTCTTGAGACCAGTTGCCATTCCAGGAGGTCTCCAGAGGAAGCCTGGAGACTGGCAACGCCACCTGGAGAGAGAAGGAGAGGCAAAGGGGGTGCGTGACCGGCGGCTACTCGGGACTCACCACCAGCTGCTGCTCGGCTCTCAGCTCCTTCATGGTGGCCGAGCTGGGGGTGGCGGCGGCGGCGGCGGCGGCGGGCCCGGGCCCCCCCGGGGCTCTCCTCTGGCCGGGGGT